TGATTCGCCCGCCTCGGCCTCCCAAAGTGCTGGGATTACAGGCGTGAGCCACCGCGCCCAGCCAGTTTTTTCTTTTACTGTGGTGTCTGTCTCATTTTGGCATCAGGATAATGCTGGCTTCACAAAATGAGTTTGGAAGTGTTTTCTATCGTCCATGATTTTGTTGTTAACTTTTCTAATTTAGTATATACAAGAAGAACAATGCAAAAATCGTGTTGATACTGAAAGTTACTAAGTAAAATCTGCTAAAATGGCACCTGGGTACTGTTGCCATGGGGACAGGCAAGGAGAAGAATGAATGCAGCTTGAATTCTTAGAAAGACAATATGTGAGTTGCTCTTCAGTAAACTTGTGATGAAAATATCTTAAATGTGGGCACTTGGTTGCTATTTTTTAACAAAAACAAACAAAAAGCGGCAGCAGCATTAACAAGGGCAAAGAACATCACCAAAATCCTAAATCAAATAACTTCAGCTCAGTTGAGCTTTGATTTGTGTGTGCTTGTTCCTTATGATAATTACCTACGTTCCTCTGCAAAGCAGTGAGCCTGGGAGGCATGACATCTAACATGGGTGCAAATTAAACCCTCACTCCCACCCCAGCCTCCTCAGCCTCTATCTCTGAAGAAAATATGGGATTTACCTAACGTCTATTCAAATAGTGTATATTGAACTAGAAGACAAAAAAGGGATTTTGCATGTTAAGCTGCAGCTGGCATAAGAAACACATTCATTCTATCAGAAAATTGGGTAATCTGGATTATAGTCCTGGCTTTGGCACTGCCATTGGCACAGCAATGTATTTCAGTGTGTGTGTGTGAGGGGCAATTTATAAGTATCTGCAGTTCTCAGCCTCCAGCTTCCAAGGAGGAAGGGTGCTTTGTACAGACTGGAGTTGTATTATGCATATCCCTGAAAGGATGAAGTTGAGAGAGTTGGATGGAGCCGAAAAAGGCCAAAACAATTTACATTTGAAAGAAACAAATACAATATTCCTCAGAGAGGAATGGTTCTGAACAGATGAAAGGAGGAGTGAAAACAGAAACCCAATGAAGCTGATTTGGAGAGATGGAAAAGTATAGGGAAGAAAGGATTTTTCTTTTCTTTTCTTTTTGCGACAGGGGCTTGCTCTGTTGCCCAGGCTGGAGTGCAGTGACATGATCTCAGCTCACTGTATCCTCCGCCTTCTGGGCTCAAGTGATCCTTCCACCTCAGACTCCTGAGTAGCTGGGATTACAGGCGCAGGCCACTAGGCCTGGCTAATTTTTGCATTTTTTATAGAGACAGGGTTTCGTCGTGTTGCCCAGGCTGGTCTCAAACTCCTGGGCTCAAACCTACTCCCACCTTGGCCTCTGAAAGTGCTGGGATTACAGGCATGAGCCACTGCTCCTGGTGGAGAATTTCTTTAAGTTTACATACACTGGAATGCACCCATTATAAATGTACTATCTGATGAGTTTTGACAATCATACTTTTAAACAAAATTATGGGAGGCTGTTGTTTTAGGCTGAGCTCCTGTGCTAGGCCCCAACAGACCAGACCAAACCAAAATAGAGTCACTTATGCTAAATGCCACATAATCAAACTGAAACTTCAAGGAAGCAAGCGGATAGATCCCCAGACAGACCAGTTTTTTGAGAACAGGAGATTCCAGTCTACCTGAGTCAGCATAATAAGGAAGTTCCTCTGCTTTAACTTTCAGAAAAAAAAAGTAACCTGATATTAATCAGTGCTATTGTTCTGTTTCCTTGTCTTCATCTCACAAACCCCAGTGTTCTGCCTTAGCTTGGTGGGAGTTCTCATCATATTTTGTAGAACGTAGGCTGTCCCAATTCACAAGTCTTGAGCAAAGCTAAACAGATCTATAACCAAATTTGTGGTAATTTTGTCTGTTGACAGTATACAGCTACGTAACTACTACTGTGATTAACATGAGCATTTCTGTCACTCCACAAAAGTTCCCTTCTGCCCAGTCTTCTTTCTGTTACTAAAGATTAGATTTGTCTTTTCTCATTTCATATTAATAGAATCATACAGTATGTACTATTTTGTGGTTTCTTTTGCTCATTGCAATATTTTTGAGATTCATCTAGGTATCAGTAATTTGGTTCTTTTTATTGCTGATGTGTTTATTGCAGGGATATATACAACTTTTTATTCAACTACTGATAAATATTTGAGTTGTTTTCTGTTTGGGACTATTATGGCTGATGCTATTATCATTAGTATACAGATTCTTGGACATCAATTTTTATTTCTCTTAAAGAAAATACTTAAAACTGCAATAGGGCTGGGCACAGTGGCTCACAGCTGTAATCCTAGCACTTTGGGAGGCTGAGGTGGGTGGATCACCTGAGGTCGGGAGTTCGAGACCAGCCTGGCCAACAAAAATGAAACCCCGTCTCTACTAAAAATACAAAAAATTACCTGGACATGGCGGTGGGTGCCTGTAGTCCCAGCTGCTTGGGAGGCTGAGGCAGGCGAATTGCTTGAACCTGGGAGGCGGAGGTTGCAGTGAGCTGAGACTGTACTCCAGCCTGGGAAATAAGAGTGAAACGCTGTCTCAAAAAAACAAAACAAAACAAAACAAAACAAAACTGCAATAGGTAGGTTAGATGGTAAGTGTATGTTTGACTTTATAAGAAATTGCCAAGCTATTTTCCTGAGTGGTTATACTGCTTTACATACTCCCCAGCAATGTATAAAAGTTTTGATTGCCTTAAAGCCTCTTCAACAGTTGGTATTTTCAAGCTTCTTTTTGTTGTTGTTGTTTTGTGAGATGGAGTCTTGCTCTGTTGCCCAGGCTGGAGTGCAGTGTTGCAATCTTGGCTGACTGCAACCTCTGCCTCTTGGGTTCAAGTGATTCTCCTGCCTCTGCCTCTCAAGTAGCTGGGACTACAGGTGCACACCACCATGCCTGGCTAATTTTTGTATTTTTAGTACAGATGGGGTTTCACCATTTTGGCTAGGCTGGTCTCAAACTCCTGACCTCAAGTGATCGGCCTGCCTCAGCCTCCCAAAGTACTGGAATTACAGGCATGAGCTACCGCACCCGGCCCTCAAGCTTCTAATTTTAGACATTCCAGTGGGTGTATAGAGGTATCTCCCATGGTTTCAATTTGCTTTCCCTAAGGACTAATGACTTTGTGCACCACTTCCTGTGCTTATTTGATATTTGTATAGCTTCTTTGTTGAAATGTTGTTTTACCCATTTTAAATTTGGTTATTTATTATTTTATTATTAAGTTGTAAGAATTATTCATATATTTTCAATATTAGTCTGTCAGATACTACAAATATTTCCTCTCAGTCTGTGGCTGGCTTTTGCATTTTCTTATTTGCGTTTTTTAAAGAGCAGAAAAATTTAATTTTGAAGTCTATTGGTCATTTTTTTTCTTTAATGATCTATGTTTTGGTGTATTTTTGTCTATTGATGAGACAGAATCTCACTCTGTTGCCCAGGCTGGAGTGCAGTGGTGCAATCACTGCTTACTACAGCCTTGACTTCCTGGGCGTAAGCCATTTTCCTGTTTCAGCCTCCCAAGTAGGTGGAACTACAGGTGCATGCCACCATGCCAGGCTAATTTTTATATTTTTTGTAGAGACATTGACAAGGCTGGTCTCAATCTTCTGGGCTCAAGTGATCCACCCACCTCGGCCTCCTAAAATGCTGAGATTATAGGTGTGAGCCACTGCACCTGGACTTTTTAGAAATTTTAGTGTTTTCTACATATGTCATCAGCAGACAGGGATAACTTTATCATTTTCCAGTTTCTATGCCTTTTATTTTTTAAATTAAACTTATTTTAATTGATAAATAAAAATTGTACATATTTATCATGTGCAACGTGATTCTTGAATTATGTATGCATTGCAGAATACGTAAACCAAGCTAATTAACATGTATTACCTCACCTACATATCCTTTTTGTGGTGAGAACACTTGAAATCTACTCTTTTAGCAATTTTCAAGAATAAAATACACTGTTACTCGTTAGCGTCACCATGTTGTACAATAGATCTCTTGAACTTGTTCCTCATATCTAACTGGCCAACATCTCAAACCTCCACTGCTTTATTTCTTTTTCTTGTCTAATTGCTCTGGCTAGAACTTCCAGTACTATCTTGAACAGTAGTGATGATAGTGGGCATCTTTGCCTTATTCTTGGTCTTAAGACGAGCATGTGATTTTAATTGAGCATATTAATCACTTGGAAGGCATTACAAAATTCTATTGGATTCTCCTCTTGATATTTGCTTTTTAGCAAATCATTACATTGTAGACAATCTCTTCAAATTAAAGTTTGTGTGGAAGCTCAGGATTGCACAGTTAAATGGGTTTTGAAAGATGTAAATTTCCTTTGTACTTGCATTGAGGTCTACAACATACTACTGGGACTATAGTTTGAACTTGAATAATATATCCAGTGCAAACTTGTGTCAGGATGAAGATCTCACTTCTTATTTTAGCTTTTGTTAGTACCAGAAGTAGACAAAGCAGATTGACATTACTTATGATTCAAACATTAGTCGTGGTCAAAATGACTGTCTTAGTCTATTTGTGCTGCCGTAACAAAATATCATAGAGTGGGTAACGTATAAAGAAGAGAAATTTGGCAGGGTGCAGTGGCTCAAGCCTGTAATCCCAGCATCTTGGGAGGCTGAGGCAGGTGGATCACCTGAGGTCAGGAGTTCAAGACTAGCCTGGCCAACATGGTGAAACTCCGTCTCTGCTAAAAATACAAAAATTAGCCAGGCATGATGGGTGCCTGTAATCCCAGCTACTCAGGAGGCTGAGGCAGGAGAATCGCTTGAACCTGGGAGGCGAAGGTTGCAGGGAGCCAGGATTGCACCATTGCACTCCAGCCTGGGTGATGAGAACGAAACTCTGTCTCAAAACAAACAAACAAACAAACAAAAAAAGAAGATAAATTTATTTCTTACACTTCTGAAGGCTGAGAAGTCCAAAATTAAGGAACCAGCAATTGGTGTCTGGTGAGGGTTGCTGTCTGCTTCCAAGATGGTGCCTTGTTGCTGTGTTCTCACCTGTTGGAAGGTGGAAGGGCGAAAAGGGATTAAGCTAATTCCCTCAGCCCTTTTATAAGGCAATAATCTATTTATGATGGTGGAGCCCTCATGACTTAATCACTTTCCCAAAGGCCCCACCTCTTAATACCATTATAGTGGGGATTGTATTTCAATATGAATTTGGGAGGGAATACAAATGTTCAAACAGTAGCAGTCCACCCCTTGGCCCTTCAAATTCATGTTTTTCTCATATTCAAAATACATTCATTCCATCCCAATAGCCCCCAAAAGTCTTAACTCATTCTAGTATCTACTTTAAAATCTAAGTCCAAAGTCTCATCTAAATATCATCTAAATCAGATATGGATAAGACTCAGGGTGAAACTCAAAATATGACTCATTTTGAGAAAAATTTATCCTAACTGTGAGCTTGTGAAATCAAACAAGTTATATACTTCCAAAATAGAGTAATGGGACAAGCATGGCATAGACATTCCCATTCTTAAAAGGGAGAAAAAGGCAAGAAACAAGGGGTAATAAATCCCAAGTAAGTCCAGAACCCAGTGAGGCAAACAACATTACATCTTGAGGCTTGAGAATAATCTTTGACTCCACATCTTAGCTTCCAGACACACTGGAGTGGGGATTGGGTCCCCAGTCCCCCAGGAGACCCCACTACCATGCCTTTGCTGGATGAAGCCCACGCTGCAGCTCTCAGGAGTTGGAGTTGGATGCTTATGGCTCTTCCTGGCTGGCATTGCATGCTGGTGGCTCTACAGGTTTGCGGCCTTTAGGAGTGGCTGTCTTGCATTGCCTCACTAAGCGTTGCCCTACTGGGGGCTCTCTGCAGTGGTCTTGACCCTGTGGCTCTGCTGGGCATTGCCATAGTGGGGACTCTCTGCCACACCCTGCCTTGTGGCTGTTCAGAGCTCTGAGACTGAGGTTGTGAGGCATCCTTTGAAATCTAGGTGGAGGTAGCCATGCTTCCACCGTTCTCGCATTCTGCATGCCTGGAGAGTTAGCATCACATGGATGCCATGAAGATTTACATACTGCGCCTTCTGGATTGTTGACCTGAGTTGCATCTGGGCTCCCTGAGCCACAGCTGGGGTGATCAAGGAGTCTATGTTGTTGCATTCCAGTGGCACCAGAATTCAGGGAGCAGAAGCTTGGGGTGCCCCTGGGCTGTGAGCCCCAAGGTCCCATGGGTGCCCTGGGATCCTCCTTTGAAACGTTCTTCCCTCAAGGCCCTAGCACTCTGGGCCTGTGATGAGAGTGGCAGCCTCAAAGATCTCTGAAGTGCCTTTGGGGTCATTCTCCTATTGTCTTGATGAACAGCATCTGGCTTCCTTCTGTCCATACTAATCTCCTTAGCAATATTTTGCTTGGTCACACCCTTGATGTTCTTGCTCGAACACACTTTTTCTTTTTTAACGACATGGCTAGGCTGATAATTTTCCTTCTCTTTAACCAGGCTGAGTGCAGTGGCACAGTCTCGGTTCAACCGCAGCCTTGATCTCCCAGTCTTGAGTGATCCTCCCACCTCAGTCTCCCAAGTAGCTGGGACTACAGGTATGCACACCATGCCCAGCTAATTTTGTTTATTTTTTGTAGAGACGAGGTCTCATTATGTTGCCTAAGCTGGTCTCAAACTCCTGGGCTTGAGTGATCCTTCTGCCTTGGCCTCCCAAAGTGCTGGGATTATAGATATGAGCCACCGCACCCAGCCCTTTGTTCCCTTTTGATATAAATTCCATCTTGAATTCATTTTTCTCTTTCTGAATTTCATTATAAACAGTCAAGAGAAGCCATGCAGCACCCTGAAACACTTTGCTGAGAGATTTCTTCTATTGAATATCCTAGTTCATCACTCTTAAATTCCGATTTCTACAAAGCACTGACACCGACAAAATTCAGCCAGGTTCCTTTGCTAGTTTGTAACAAAGATGGCCTTTCCTCCAGTTTCCAATAAGATATTCCTTATTTTCATCTAAGATCTCATTGGAATGGGCTTCACTGTTCACATCTCTACCAGCATTCTGATTGCAACCACTTAGATAATCTCGAAGAAGACCGAGGCTCTCTAAGCTTTCCTCTTCTTCTTAGCCCTCACCAGAACTGCCTTTAATACTCCGTTTATGGCCATCTAGGATGTTTCCAGTATGTGGTTCAAAATTGATCCAGCCTCTACCCATTACCCAGATCCAAAACTGCTTCCACATTTTTAGGTATTTGTTATAGCACCATCTCATTTTCAGCACTAAAATCTGCATTCGTTAGGGTTCTCCAGAGACCAGAACCAACAGGATATAGATGTAGATATAAGTATATAAAAGGGGATTTATTGGGGAAATTGGCTTATGAGATTATGGAGGCTGAGAAGTCTCATGATAGGCCACATGCAACCTGAAGAACCAAGGAAGCTGGTAGCACGGCCCAGTCCAGGTCAGAGGCCTCAGGACTAGGGAAGCTGATGTGTAATTCTCAGTCCAAATTCCAAGGCCTGAGAAGCAGGGGCGCTGCTGACGCAAGTCCTGGAATCCAAAGGCTGGAGAACCTGGAGTTCTGGTGTCCAAGGGCAGAAGCGTGTCCCAGCTCCAGAACAGAGACAGACAGAGAGAGAGAACAAATTTCCTTTTCCTCTGCCTTTTTGTTTTATCTAAGCCCTCAGCCAACTGGATGTTGCCTGGTCATACTGGATGAGGGCAGATCTTCCTTATTCAGTCCACTGATTCAAATGCCAACCTCTTCTGGAAACACCTTCGCAGACATACCCAGAAAAAATGCTTTAGAAGCTGTCTGGGTATTCCTTAACCCACTTAGAAGGTTGACAACTAAAATGAACAATTACAATGCCTTTACCACAGTGTAACATTTGCATAGAAGTGCTGTTTTGCCTTGTAATTTTAGCTTGACTTAATGAAGACACATTGTCAAATCTGCAGCAAAAACTGATTTTCTTGTTTTGAGACAGAGTCTCACTGTGTCATCCAGGCTGGGGTGCAGTTGCACAAACATGGCTCGCTGCAGCCTTGATCTCCCCAGCTCAAGCGATCCTCCTGCCTCAGCCCCACAGATAGCTGGGAATACAGGCAAATGCCACCATGCAACCATGCCTGCCTAATTTTTGTATATCTATATCTTTATCTATCTATCTATATTTTTTGTAGAGACAGGGTTGTGCCGTGTTGCCCAGGCTGGTCTCTCCAACTCCTGAGCTCAAGCGATCCACCTGCCTCAGCCTCCCGAAGTGCTGGAATTACAGGCATGAGCCACTGCACCTGGTCAACAAAAAGTAATTTCTAAATCCATTCAGTGCATAATAATGACAGGGACAGGAGGCAGGGAAATTCTGGCCAGAAGAGGGTGGGTCCCTGGCAAAGGCTCCACCCTCAAGGCGAAAAGCCTAATAATACTGTGGCCAAAATGAGGACTTACATCCCTGTTTTCCCACGCTCATGTTGCCTTTTCCAAAACCACCCTTAGCTCACCCCACCCCCTATCTTGTGCCCATAAGAAACTCAGAACTCAGCCAGCAGAGAGGAGAAGCAGCTGGATGTCAGAGACTACAGTTGGACATCAGAGAGAAGCAGCTTGACTTCAGTGATGAGGAGGATGGGAAAGGAAATTGGCCAAAGCCAGGTAAAAGGGCTGAGGAATAGCCATAGAGGGTTGGGGTCTAACCTGGAGTTTCACGAATGTGCCCAGTTGTGCAGCTTTCTTTAGCCAGTTGGATATAGAAGTCTATGTTGTTGCATTCCAGTGGCCTAATGAGTAACATGCTTAAAGTAAAAACAAAAAGCAAAGGAAAGTCAAAATACTACCCTCATTATGGATAAAACTGATAATTGAAGATGTGGCTTATATAATCGAGTGGACTTCCAAATACTGATCCCTAGAATTAGACTCATCCATCAGCCATAGGCATTGCTGAGGCACCTCAGGGCCCTCATTCCCCACTGGAGGCGGCCCCTATAACAGGGAGGGTGTGGGGAGCAGGGCCACTTGGACCCAAGAGAAAGATGTCCTCCAGTCGTGAGAGCCTTCTCCCCAGGATCATAAAGATAGAATGGAATCATCAGTGTGCAGTCACTGATCCCATGTTCACAATACTTAAATCAGTGCCTCCTCTCCTGTTTTAGAAGTATCTGGCATTAAGTGCTGTATTCTGTTAAATCACACAGAGAATTAAAGTGCACCCTTTTAAACCAATACACATGCCCCACGAAGGATGCCTTTGAAATGTGGATGACAAATGGTTCCAGGCACCTGTTTGACCAAGGCTTAGCTGACCACAGATGCCTCTTCTGGTTCCAGGGTGACTTACCACCCAATTCTGCCATGAAACTACCCTTGCAGGCTTTCCAGAGTTGGAGGCTACCCAGCAATGAATCAATGGGCTGAGATGCCTTATTGCCATCAGACGTGTTCACGCACTGGATGAACACTCAAGCACTGTTTCAGAGGATACAGACGAGATTCCTATGAGCACAAGAGCTTTAGTACCAAAACCACCAAGGAATCTGAAAATTCGAACACCCTATGGTTTAAAGGAACTGTAGTTTTTCTGAATTGAAGCATAAAGCTCATATCATCATCTCTCATCGTGATGTACGCTGCTAATGCTTTCATGAACAGTCCATGGAGCAAAATGATAGAAAGTCTGTTCATGAATTTACTGGTTAATCTAGCATATACAATCTAGTTACTGTGAGCAGTCAGATGGAGAAAAATGATTATGATGAAAAGACCCTAGGGAAAGGATTTTTCTGCTTGAATAGATGAATGTCAAAATTAAATTACTTCCACTGGGAAAAGCATATCAAATTCAAGATAGAAGGAACCACGCACTAAGGAATGGAGACTAGCCCCGAATAATGTTTCTTCAATTTTTTAAAAACCACAATCCAAAATACACTTAACATCATAATGCAGCACACACACACACACACACACACAGACACACACACACACTTCTAACTATAACAAAAGTTTCACAAAACAACACTTACCCTTATTATGGGCAATGCGTTCTGACTTCTATTATATTCGGATTTTTAATAATTCTGTTATTGAAGCATAGCAAATAGGCAGAAAAGCACATGATTATAAGTGTAGATCTTGATAAATTTTCACACAATAAACACATCTATGTAACCTATATTTTATTCTACTCCTTTTTATTTTTTATTGTAAAATATTTATAACATAAAAAGAACCATGTTAATTTTTAAGTGTGTGGTTCTGTGCGTTAATTCCATTCGCACTGCTGTGCAACCATCACCACCATCCATCTCCAGAACATTTTTCATCTTCCTAATCCCAAACTCCATACCTATTAAACAGCCATTCCCTATTTCCCCTCCTTTGCCTCTGGTAACCTCCATTCTACTTCCTGCGTCTGAACTTAACTACTCTAGGTACCTCATATAAGTGGAATCATATTTGTCCTTTAGTGACTGGTTTCTTTCGTTTGGCATAATGCCCTCAAGGTTCTCCATGTTATAGCATGTGTCCAGATTTCTTTTCTTTTTAAGGCTGAGTAATATTCCACTGGATGCATATGTATCCAGATAGATAGATAGATAGATAGATAGATAGATAGATAGATAGATAGATAGATAGATAGAACATTTGGTTTATCCTTTCATTCATCGATGGACATTGCATTGCTCCTGCTTTCTGGCTATTGTGAATAATGCTGCTATGAACATGAGTGTACAAATATCATTTTTAAAAATACTAGTTGCAACACATTAAATTGATTTTCTTGATGTTGAAAACTCTGGTGTATTAGTTCAAAAATGGAAATCAAACATATTCTTTCCTTTGAGCCTGATTAAGCTAAACAGGCTACTTTCAGACTCTTCATTTCCCTGATTTTTTGAACTGAGAAGAGACTTAGTGTGCCTCAGACGGGAAGCTGTAGGAGTGGATTTCCTTCCCTTTCACTTTGGAAGCTGCCCAACAGTGAAACGCAATGCCTCACGGGGACGGGGGACCCCTTCACCCAGCCACCCTCGACACACACTCAGCCTTCCACTGTCTCTTTGTGAAAGTGAGATAGTGTGCTGAGTCGCCAGGTTTTGGGCATGCTCAGGGTTGAGGTGTGGATCCATAGTTCCTATACTGCCTGCTAAACGAGACGAGCTGAATTGGACTTGCTCAGAAAATTTCTGAGAGTCCACAGGCTACTCTGAAAGTCATTTACCTGCTGTGACTAACATACTGTATATCCTTTCAAAAAGGTTTTGTGAAGAGAAACTGCTTCCCTGAGGCCTGGGTTTTCTATTGCTGCATAATAAAGCACCTGAAACTTTCAGCAACAGCAGGCCTCCGGGTTGATGATTGGGCTGGGCTTGGCTCGGTGTTCTTGCTGTCTGGCCTGGGGTCACCTGCATGTCGTCCACAGGCTCCAGTGGGGCTGGATGGCCCATGACGGCCTTCCCACCTGTGCTGCTTGCTGGCTCTCTGACTCTGTCATCCTTGTGGAGGCACCCAGGCTTCTCATGGAGGACTCAGGGTTCAGAAGGAGACAGAGGGAGCCGCAAGGCCTTTCAAAGCTCCAGCATGGAAGTCCTATAATATCACTTTCTCCACATTCTATTAGCCAAAGCCAGTCACTAGCCAGCCCAGATTCCAGGAGTCAGGAAGTCAACTTGACCTTGGATTAATGGGTACGAATATATATGAGAGAGAAGATATAAGACCTGATGTTTGATAGATCAGTACGGTGACTATAGTTAACATTAATTGATTATATATTTCCAAATAGCTAGAAGAGAATAATTTCAACATTCTTAGAATCAAGAAAAGATAATTATTTAGAGTGATGGATATTGGCCGGGCGCAGTGGCTCACATCCCTAATCCTAGCACTCTGGGAGGCCAAGGCGGGTGGATTGCTTGAGCCTAGGAGTTTGAGACCAGCCTGGGCAACATGGCAAAACCCTTTCTCTACAAAAAATACAAAAAATTAGCCGGGTGTGGTGGCACAAGCCTGTGGTCCCAGCTACTGGGGAGGCTGAAGTGGGAGGGCCGCTTGAGCCTGAGAGGTCCAGGCTGCAGTGAGCCATGAGCATGCCACCACACTCCAACCTGGGTGACAGAAAAAGACTCTGTTTCAATTAAAAAAAAAAAGTGATGGATATCCCAATTACCTGATTTGATTATATGAATGTATCAAATTATCACACGTGCTCTGAAAATATGTACATGTAACATGTGTCAATAAAACTAAATGTGTAAATAAATAAACGTGACCTCTTGATGATAGGCGCGGCAAAGTCACAGTGAACCGGAACATACAGAGAGACGGGAGGAATAACTGTAGCCATCTTTGCCAGAGTCTACCACTCTCCACCACAATCTACCAACAATCTATAACATCCTGTTATTGCTTCTTTTTACTTTCCTACAAATAAGCTCATGCAAATCTTGTTTCTAAAGAGTAGGGTTTTGACCCAACATCCTTACTTCTGATAATTTACTTACATATCTACCTGCACAACACAAAATGATCTATGTACAAGATTACCCATGTAGCACACTTCATAATTAAAAACAACCCAAGTATCCATTAATAGACGACTACTTACATAAATTATGGTACACCAGCAGGAGAGGACACTGTGCAACTATAAAAGAAAAAAAGAAGCCCTTGCGTATCGACACAAAAACCCTAGGATATACTGTTGACTGACAAAAATCAAAGTGCTGAGCAAGATCCACTGTATCCCAAACATCTTAGTGCAGTTCGAAACTTTTATAATGTTAGAAGTACAAGTACTATAAACATAGAAGAAACACGACTTGAAAACTTAATTGTATAAATTTCTTTCTTTTTTAGATTAATCATGCCATATAATAATTATTATTATTTAATTAATTAATTAAATAATTGTTGAGACAGAGTCCTACTCTGACACACAGGCTGGAGTGCAGTGGTTCGATCTTGGCTCACAGCAACCTCTGCCTCCCAGGTTTAAGTGATTCTCTTGCCTCAGCCTCCCGAGTAGCTGGGATTACAGGCACAAGCCACCATGCCTGGCTAATTTTTGTATTTTTAGTAGGTTTTGCCATGTTGGCCAGGCTGGTCTCAAACTCCTGACCTCAGATGATCCACTCCCTTTGGCCTCCCAAAGTGTTGGGATTATAGACTTGAGCCACCACACCTGGCCCATATTATTTTTAATTACATACAAAGATCTAACATGTCACTCAGAGACCATTTCACCCACTGCTCTGTTTGGTCACCAGTCTCTTGTCTGTCTCTTCAGCAATGGTGAAGTGCATACCCTTTCCTTGGGGAAGAGAAATCCAGGGTTTGTTGAGGTTGCTGTTGGCATCTTTCCCATGAACCACATCAAAAGAACCAGGGTGCCTCTCTCTGTTGGTGATCACACCAATTCTTCCCAGGGTAGCACCTCCAGTCACCATACACAGGTTCCCAGTGTCGAACTTGATGAAACCAGTAATCTTGCCATTCTCCAAATCAATCTGAATGGTGTCATTCACCCTGATGAGGGGATCAGGGTAGCAGATGGTGTGAGCATCGTGAGTCACCAGATGAGGGGTTCCTTTTGTGTCCACAAAAATTTTTCTCACTTTGCACAACTTGTACTTGGCCTCCTCAGGTGCAATATGATGTACAGGAAAGGGAGCCTTGGTGTCATAGATCAGAGGGAAATTCTCTACATCTTGTCAGTGCTCATGACATTCATGAATCCAGCAGGATAGGTTACATTAGTTCAGACCTTGCCATTGATCTTAATGAAACTGTGCACGCAAATCTTCTTTGCTTCATCTCGTGTCCGACATACTTAAGTCTGCTCTTTAGGAAAAGATGAGGGAGAGACACTTTCTTAGCTTGTGGGGATCGGTGGATTGATGAGGAGCAAACACATGGGTCAATTTATCCAGCATCAAATGCTATGGAGCTGCTGCCTGCTTCAGCTGCTTCTTGGGACCACAACCATGACTGCGTTAGGCAAGGAAAGAGCTTTTTTTTTTTAAATTTTTGAGACAGGGTCTCTGTTGCCCAGGCCGGAGTGCAGTAGTGCCATCACAGCTCACTGCAGCCTCAACCTCCTGGGCTCAAACGATCGTCCTACCTCAGTCTCCGAAGTAGCTGGGACCACAGGCATGTACTACCACACCTGGCTAATTTTCTTTTTTTGGGGGGTAGAGACAGGGTTTTGTCATGTTGCTAGGCTGGTCTCAAACTCCTGAGTTCAAACAATCCACCTACCTCAGTCTCCCAAAGTGCTGGGATTACAGGCGTGAGCCAACATGCTCAGCCTTGTATACATTTCTTATTCACTTAGTCTTGTGAATTTGGAATAATAAATTTTAAACTTAGTATTTTTGTTTCATTATTGTTTTCTATCTTTGATCAGAGATACTGAAACAAAAAATAAAATGTGCTATTTAAAATTCACAAAACTAAATAAGCGTAAAAGAGATTTATACAATAAAACTTCCAAGTGATGTTTGTAGCATTTATAATTCTCAAGTTATTAATGCCTAAAGTTCCACCAAGGCTTTTGGGTTACCCTATACAGGGTATGCTAACTTTCATTTAAGAAAAAAGTGGATTCCATATCTTTGCTATTGTGAACAGTGGAAATAGGGCATATACACACCATGGAGTACTATGCAGCCAAAAAAAAAAAGAGATCATGTCTTTTGTGGGAACATGGATGGAGCTGGAAGCCATTATCTTTAGCAAACTAATGCAGAAACAGAAAACCAAATACTATATGTTTTCATGTATAAGTTGGAGCTAAATGATGAGAACACATGGACACAAAGAGGGGAACAACACACACTGGGGCCTACTTGAGGGCAGAGGGTGGAAGGAGGGAAAGGATCAGAAAAAATAACTACTGGGTATTAGGCTTAGTACCTGGGTGATGAAATAATCGGTACAACAAACCCCCATATCACGAGTTTACCTACATAACAAACCTGCACATGCATCCCTGAACCTCAAATAACAGTTAAAAAAAAAAAAAAGAAAAAGAAAAAGGTGGAAATAGTTGTGTTCATTTCCTGTGGTGTCTGTAACAAGCTACTACTAACTTAGTGGTTTAAAATAACACAAATTTATTCACTGCTAGTTCTGGAAGTCAGAAGTCTAAGGAACGCTGCCTTCCTGGAGGCTCTAGGAAACAATCCATTTTCTTGCCTTGTTAGCTTCCAGAGGCTGCCTGCATCCCTTGGTTCGTGGCCCCTTCCTCCATCTTCAAAACCCACAGTATAGCATCTGCCAAGTTCTCTTTTTTTTGGACTCTGACCCTCCTGCCTCCCCCTTAGAAGGTCCTCTGTGGTTACATTGGGCCCACTGGGGTAATCCAGAATTATCTCCAATCTCAAGATCCTCAGTTCAATCACATCTGCAAAGTCCTTATTCCACATAAAGTAACAAACAGGTTTTGGGGATTAGCACAAGGACATTTTTGGGAGGCCATTATTCTGACAACCACAGAAGTATATTGATTTTTGTTTATATCTGCATAATGATACACTGGAAGGATGTATTAAAAAGTAGTAGAGGCCGGGCGCGGTGGCTCAAGCCTGTAATCCCAGCACTTTGGGAGGCCGAGAAGGGCGGATCACGAGGTCAGGAGATCGAGACCATCCTGGCTAACACGGTGAAACCCCGTCTACTAAAAAATACAAAAAACTAGCCGGGCGAGGTGGCGGGCGCCTGTAGTCCCAGCTACTCAGGAGGCTGAGGCAGGAGAATGGCATAAACCCGGGAGGCGGAGCTTGCAGTGAGCTGAGATCTGGCCACTGCACTCCAGCCTGGGCGACAGAGCGAGACTCCGTCTCAAAAAAAAAAAAAAAAAAGTAGTAGAAGTGGTTACTTATGGGGGCAGAGAGGAATGGGAACAGAATGGAAGTGAGAATTCTTAACGAATATCATTTTATGAGGATTTGATATCTGAATATATGAGTGAATTATCTATTCAAAAATAAAATGAATAATACGTAGGGTCTGTTTAGTTTCAGGTATCTCTAGCTTAGAGACACTTAGATTTTTGTAAATTCAGATGTCATGGACATAATGCTAAAATGGCTGAATTGATCCTATAGATTTGGAACCACATGAGTTTACTTACATGCAATGAACTATACATTCTATGCACAGCAAGTCTGGAATCTGTCTTCAGTTCCTTCTCACGAAGGAAATGTGAAGTCAGTGTGACTAACCAGTGGCTCCGGTTCACCCTGGGACATCTTAGCATGGTTCAGGCTTCCCAGCTCTTCCTGTGGGCACGGTGTTTCCTGCCTTCAGGATTTCAGGATAAGCTGCAGCCCGGTCGTGGTCTCTGCTGTGCACTCACCTATGCTGGGGTGATTTGCATTTTCAGCCTCCGCCTGTCAAATGAACTGCACTGGGCCAGGTTTCAGGAACTGTGGGCCCACCCCACTGAGATAGGGGGAGGGAGGATAGGTCCTCGTGTCCTTAAAGCACTTTAGTCCCTGAGGCTGCTGCTTGGTGTTTGTGTGTGAGCCAGCTCTGACTCACCACATCGAGAAGAAAAAACTTCCACCGAGGACAATTTGCCAAGGAAATGTGCTCAGGCCCACGCGGCAGTGAGTCCAGCAGTTAGGACGGAACCTGAGAGGAGGCAGTTGGGGAAATAAACAGAGCGCCAACTCAACAGTCAGAGCCTCTGCGCTGGCAGCCTGCGATGGGAGAGGTTTCTCTGCCGTCATGGCTGCTTGCTTCACAGATCCATGCTTGGCAGGTGACCTGCGAGCTCTCACATGCGTGCGGTGGGCGCCCCGGGGACTGTCTTCCTCCCCGCCTCCTCCTTGGGCAGGAGCCTGGTTTGGGTTTATTTTTGGTTGTGCCAGAGGGAAACTGCACTTTGAGGAAGAAAAACAGTTGCTGGTTGTTGAGGAGGGGCAGTCTAATCCGAGACTGCCTTGTCTTCTGCAGAAAACAAGCCGGGCGCACATCAACCCAGGCGCAGCCAAGGGGCCGCGGTCCCGCTGAGTCACAGCCGGCTCAGCGCTCAGCGTGACTCAGGGCCGGCCGCCTCCCTGAGGCATCTGTGAGTGATCCCAGGCGGAGGAAGCGGCAACTCTTTCGTCTACGGCATCTCCAGACTCATTTCCTTCCTCTGGAGGTCAGGTGCCCCGTGGGGCGCGGTTGGGGGTACCAGGCACCTCTGCATGCAGCTCCCAGAGAGCGGCCATCCGGCAGGGCCCCGGGCCCCACGGCCTGGCTTGAGGGGCTGGGCCTGCCTGGCCCCACCTCCGTCACAGGCTGTGCCCTCAGACCTTGCCAGCCTCTTTCCAACACACCCATTAGTCTCAAGGTGAAGTCGGGTAAGAGGGCCTGGAGGGATTACAACAATAGAAATGGAAGACAAAGTAGCAGATGTAAGAAGTCACGTGTGCTGCTTTCTGCCTGCAGCAGAATTTCACAAAAGCCCCAGCCCCCTGGCAACTTGCTGCTCTTGGGGAAAGATGCTTTGAGGACCAAACAGGCTAGAGCACACGACCCCCAACTCTCTTGCCTGAGTCACTATATTCCTCCAAAGACAAATGAGGCCAGGAGCAGTGGCTCCCGCCTGTAATCCCAGCACTTTGGGACCTGAGGCGGGATGATCACTTGAGCCCAGGAGTTTGAGACCAACCAGCCTGGGTGACAACGTGAGACCCCCGCTCCAATCTCTATGAAAAACATTAGCCAGCCATGATGGCCCACACGTGTGGTTCCAGCTACTCAGGAGGCTGAGGAAAGAGGATTGCTTGAGCCCAGGAGGTTGAGGCTGCCGTGACATATGTTTGTGCCACTGCACTCCAGCCTGGGCAACACAGCAAGACTCTCAAAAAAAAAAAGATAAATGGTCCCAGACCTTGCCTTTTCCTACATAAGATCATGTCTGGCAAGTCAGTGACTATGCCTATGTAATCTGTAACCAAATGCACTTCACACCCAATGCAACTGCTGAGGAAGTTCGATGAGATTTTGCAGAAACAAAATCTCCACACCTGTATATAAGCAGTGAGCTGAAACGCTGCCGCTGTAGTTTCATGGACCTCTCTAGAGGTCTGCTTCTGGGCTGTAGCCCTCAGTGATACGTCTGAATAAAACGGACTTTAATTCTTCTTTTTTTTTGTTTTTTTTGAGATGGAGTCTTGCCCTGTGACCCAGGCTGGAGTGCAATGGCACTGATCTTGGCTCACTGCAACCTCCGCCTCCTGAGTTCAGTCGATTTTCCTGCCTCAGCCTCCTGAGTAGCTGGGCTTACAGACGCCCACCACTACACCCAGCTAATTTTTGTATTTTTAGTAGAGACGGGGTTTCACCATGTTGGGCAGGATGGTCTCGATCTCCTGACCTTGTGGTCCGCCCGCCTTGGCCTCCCAAAGTGCTGGGATTACAGGCGTGAGCCATCGTGCCTGGCCTCTCTATTTTCAACAATATAGGTGGAATTATGTTTTTAGAAATTTGATTTTATGCAATTTAAAGGCCTTCTGGTGATTTCAACATTTGGGGTCTCCTGTAGTTGTTCTGTCTAATCAATTCCTTCTGAAGAAAAAGAATAAAAGATGACATTTCCCCCTCTGCATATTACTTAACCTGGAAAGGTTTCCCTTAGAAGCTAAGAAATGTTCTATTGCTTAATTACTTACCATGACAAACATCCTTTCCTTTAAATGGAAATCTGTTGGACAATAACTGCTTTAAAGGCATCCTAATGGTAGCTAAAAGTGACAAAAATGCTATAGATGAACTTAAATATGAACATAGACTGTGCTTTCCTGACATTCTGGATGCTTAAGTTTTACTCTTAGGTCAGCTGTTTGCACAAAAGAACTGGAGAAAGTGACTGTTCCCCATTGTCCTGAATCTCTAAATCGACCTGTGCTGTTCCACCACCCTGCCACAGAATGACAATAAGGTTAATGAGTGCTTTTGATGACAAGGATAGATGGCAAAAGTCCTAGCTCTATCTCAGATCTCCTGTGTCACCTTACTTACCCTCTTCGAGTTTATTTACTTGTCTGTAAAGAATCTGACAAAAAAATAGGAGGCAACCACATTCCAATCCAAAGAGCTAATGGTAGGAAAAAGAAACCAGCACCAAACAAGATTAAAGACATAGAATTCACTAGGGGCTGAAAGCATCCAACATCAACAGATGCAGAGGAGCCATCACAGTGGATTAGCGACTGTGAGGTTTAGGGGGCTACGCACTAATCCGGGATTCTAGAAACTAGGGCTGCAACTAAAAGATAATACATGTTTTGCCCTATGCTAGTTAAAATGCTTTTAAGCAGCACAAATATAGAGGCATCTGCAAAATGAGGGCATCCAACCATCTGTTACCACTCCTGATCACCTGAATACAGCCTTCCTCTCAGCTCCCTCGAAGCTAGGCAGTCCTGCAGCCTGCAAAAAGAGGAGAGGCTGGGGGAAAGAAGAGCACAAAGAAGAGATGGTTTCTAGAGTGGTCTGGATACATTTGTGTACATACAATAAATATTTTTGGCAACTTGTATATGAGACAAATTAATACTGTGCTTCATTTTCCTGGAAGAAGGACGACAAATATGGTTTTGGTCTGGATATACTTTATCTACCTTTACCCAAATGTCACTTACTTATTTACTGATCTACTCATCTATCCATTCAATCAATATTTATTGAACACCTATTATATACCATGTTCCATTCTAGGTGCTGAGGAGGCAGATACAGATGTAAAAGATACTCAAATAAAATGCTGTGAAGAAAACAAAACAAGATAAAGGGGGATAGTAAGTGACAGGGGACATATTGCAGGGTAAGAAGGTGGTTTTATTTGAAGAAACATGATATAGATAATGGACTTGCATAATAGCTGATAGGGAAAGACTTTGTGTTTTTAAATAACACTCAACTTTTTGTGTTTTTATTCCAATAATCATTCTATAAAAGAACCAGTTTCCCCTATGAAGGAAACAATATCCATTATTTTCAAGACGTAATGCATTTATGTGTAGAGGTATATAGATATGTAATCAATTACCAATTAAGCAATTAATCTCCAGGATGCCCACAGGCTTAAGGTATTCTAGAAACAGATGCAGGTTGAAAATTGATGGCACTGTGGTTTGTTAGAGATCCACTTCGTGGAAAGGAATTGAAGGAGCAGGTTTTCTAGGGGAGGGATTCGAACTACAATGCAGATCCAGTAATGCTACCCTGGTGGAGGCTCGGGAGTGTCAAGATGGCTTGCCAGAGCAGGACCATGGTGGGGCTGAAAATGCGGCTGTACCTTTACACCCTACAACAACTGGTCCCATGGATATGTGGGGTCACAGGAAGAGCATACTCGTTTGGCAAGGCAGCTCTCTTGCAACATGAGGGCAAGGAGACAGCGCTGGCCACCAATCTTCCTTGAAAGGGTTGTTAGGCAGTACATCCTTCATGTCCCCCACATAAGGATGATCTATGTGGCAAACTAAAGAGAAATACTTGCAAGCATGCTAATAGGCGAGTATAAGATGCTTAAGAGCCAAATAGACCTTTAGCGAATCAGTGAATTGGAAAAAAATTAACCACTACAATTTTAAACCATGTATATAGTATATACACAGCCATTTGCATCAAGAGATAACAGAAAACAGATAATAAATACATGAAAGTGTCAACCTCACAGAACTTTAAAACTATATAATCAGAGTAATAAAATAATACATTTTGCCATCAGAAAGAATAAAGAATATCAGAAAGAATAAAGAAAAAAATGTAGCACTTAACAAGAGGAAGGCCTGAGAACATGAGCACTCTTTAGTGCGACTCTTCCTGGGGGTGTAAATTGGCATAACATTTCAGGAAGGCAATTTTGCAATCTACATGAAAAGCCTTAAACTATACATACCTGATAAGCCAGCTGTATTCGTTGTCTGTTACTGTGTAACAAATTAAACAAAGCTTAGTTGCTTAAAACAAAAGCACGTTATTATTTCACAGATTCTGTGGAATTTGAGAATACTTAGCTGGGTTGTCCTAACTGAGGGTTTCTCACAGAGGGTTGCAGTTGAGCAGTCAGCTGGGGCGCCAGTTATCTGAAGGCTTGACAGGGGCGGGAGATCTACTTCCATGATGGTGCACTTCACGGCTGTTAGCAAAGGGCCTCAGTTCCCTCAGTTCCTTGACGGCTGTTGGCAGGACGATGCCTGTTTTAGGCCCCTCCATAGGGCCACTTGAGTGTCATTGAGACATGGCAGCTGACTTCCTTTATACAAGTGTTCAAAGAACAAACCGGAAGTCACAATGTCTTTTATGACCTACCCTCAGAAGTCATGCTCTGTCAGGCTGGGCGTACTGGCTCATATCTGTAATCCCAGGATTTTGGGAGGCTGAGGTGAGAGGATTGCTTGAGCCCAGGAAGTTGAAGCTGAGTGAGCTGTGATTACACCATGGCACTCCAGTCTGGGCCACAGAGTGAGACCCTGTCTCAAAAAAAAAAAAAAAAAAAAAGAAAAGAAAAGAGTCATGCTCTGTCATTTATGCCACATTCTATTCATTAGTAATGAGTCACCAGGTGACTCACTCAAGGGGAGGGGAATTAGCTCCACAGAAGGGAGGGGTGTCAAATAATTATTAAAAACCCCTCTGCCCACTGACCCAAAATTATTTATATTCCCCTACACATACAAAATGCATTGACCCCCTGCTAAGACTTCCCAAAGTCTCATTTCTGAATAACATGCAGTCAAAATAGGACATTGATATCTTAATTCATTCCACGTGCAGATGAGCCTCCTCAGTGATGGTCAAGGAAATACAGCTTCTCCAGCATAGTTGTTCTTGGTCTGAAGATATGTGAGGTTCTGAGCCAAGTTCTATTTCTGGTAATTTATTCTGTCAAAGCATAATTTTCAAAAAGTTAAAAACATGACTCTCATACAAATATACAATTAGAACATGTCAAATATTTGTTCATTAGTGAGAGATTCAGTAAGGTGGTAAAGCTGGTTGAGAAAGCATTTTGAGGAACTGGGCATTCAAAGGAATTTCTTTTTTCTTTTTTTTTTTTTTAATTGAGACAGGGTTTCACCATGTTGCCCAGGTTGGCCTTGAGCTCCTAAGCTCAAGTGATACACCTGCTTCGGCCTCCCAAAATGCTGGGTTATAGTAACATTTTTAAAAGAACGTTCAAATAGGCCAGGTGTGGTGACTCACGCCTGTAATGCCAGCACTTTGGAAGGCCAAGGTAGGTGGATCACTTGAGCTCAGGAGTTCGAGACTAGCCTGGGCAATATGGCGAGACCCCATCTCTATTTATAAAATTATTTCTTTAAAGAAATAATTTTTTTTCTTAAAAAAGGATGTTTAAATAACATTGCTAAGTTACATACATAATTGCATCATATGGTGCAGGACAATGGTACCATAACCTTTGTAATAAGACCTTCTACTGGATGGAAATATATAAGGCCACAGAGAACGCCACAGTGTCTGAGTTATATTCATATAGTAAATACTAAAGGCAAACACAGGGACATTCTGTTAGAGAATTAAATAATCTTCAGTGGGCTTTTTAGACAATGCTCCAGCATATTGTTGAAAGGACATGCACGCTCCCTATTAATATCCTTAGAATAAAACAATTTTAGGGAAATTTTTTTGCTGACACACATTAATTCAGTGTTTAAGGATGTTCATCACAGTTCTCTTTGCAAAGCATAGTTTGGAAACTGGCACCCGGGAAAAGGAGACTTTTTCTAGTGTGCCAGCTTGAGCTCTTGCCATCTTTACTCCCTGGAACCCTTTCATCTAACCATCTAGTCTCACCAAGCTATTTTCTTTATTTTTGCTTCTATCATTTCTACAAAAAGGAAGTGGATATGGGCCGAATGCTGAGCACTTTTGTTCTTTAGATTTTCTTTTGAAGGTCTTCCTCAAATCCTGAAGAAGCATGGATACTTTTGGATATTATCCCATCCATACCTGAGAGGGTTGCTCTCACCATTTTTTTAGAGAAAGAAAGGCTAAGATTTATTTATTCTGTAAATATGTGTTAACTTGACGTTGATCACCTTATAAGTGTTGGAGATACAAAGATGAATAAGAAGGTCTCAAGTCCAATACCAGGAAGACTAAGTATAGCAACACACACAATGACTCACATTCTTGCCACCAAAGTGTGGTTCCTGGACCAGTAGCACAGATGTCACCTGGGACATGGGAGCTTGCTAGACATGCAGAATTACTGGCCTTGTCCCAAATCTACTGAATCAGAATCTTCATTTTTAACAAGATCCCAAGTCATTTGTACACACATTTGCTATAGGTTGGATCTGTGTCCCACCCACATCTCATGTCAAAATGTAATACTCAATCTTGAAGGTGGGGCCTGGTGGGAGGTGATTGGCTCTTAGGGGTGGATATCTCTGTTTAGTTCTGTTTCTGTTCTCATAATAATGAGTGAGTTCTCATGAGATCTGGTTGTTTAAAAGTGTGTGGCACCTCCCCACTCTCTCTCTTCCTCCTGCTCCAGCCATGTAAGACATGCCTGCTTTCCCTTCGACTTCTGCCATAATTGTAGGTTTCCTGAGGCCTCCCCAGAAGCTGAGCAGATGCCGGCAGTGTGCTTCCTGTACAACCTGCAGAACTTTGAGCCAATTAAACCTCTTTTCTTTATAAATTACCCAGTCTCAGGGATGTCATTACAGCAGCGTGAGAATGGACTAATACAACACTCAAATTTGAAAAGCCCTGTTAGTCCATTCTGAACCTACTTGTGTTTTCTACTTATCACCTCTTATTTAAAGGGCAGAGATGAATCCACTTGTTTTTCAATAGCTGGTTTGCAGAACCCCCACCACCACTGGTCTACAATTTTAAAGCTTATATTTCGACATGGTAATACTAGAATGTCTTACCAGCATGTGAAAATAAGAACTTCCCCTCTTCTTTCCCAAGTTAGTTTCTTGGACCTGTAGGATACAGAGAGAGACTGGGAAAAGAGCAGTAATCAAAATGTAGTAACAGTTACTCTGTTAAGCTTAATTTCCTACAAAGTCTTTTAATAAAGGGTGGTTAATTTAAAAAAAATACATTTATTTTTATTAGACTTTATTTTATAGAGAAGTTTTAAGTTTACAGCAAAATTGAGAGGATGGTACAGAGATTTCCCATATACTGCCACCCCACACACCCACAGCCTCCCCCGTTGTCAACATTCCCTACTAGAGTGGTACATTTGCTACAATTGATGAAACTACATTGAGATATCATTATGCAAAGTTGATATTTTACATTACGCTTCATTCTTGGTGTTAAACATTCTATGGATTTGGACAATTGCATAATGACACATATCCACCATTACAGTCTCATAGGGAGTATTTTCACTGTCCTAAACATCCTCTGTGCCCCACCTGTTCATCCTTCCCTCCCTGCTAACCCTTGGTAACCACTGATTCCTTTACTGTCTCCACAGTTTTGCCTTTTCCAGAATATCATATAGTTGGAACCATAGAAGATGTTCAGATTGTCTTCCTTCACATACTAACATGCATTTAAAGTTCCTCCATATCTTTTCATGGCTTGATAGCTCATTTCTTTTTGGTAATGAATAATATCCCATTGTCTAGATGTACCACGGTTTATATTTATCCATTCATCTAAGGACATGTTGTTTGCATCCAGGTTTTGGCAATTATGAGTACAGCTGCCATAAATGTCTGCATGCGGGTTTTTGTGTGGGTATGTTGTCAGCTCCTTTGGGTAAATACCAAGGAGTGCAATTGCTGTATTTTATGGTGAGAATATGTTTAAGTTTTGTTTGTTTTTGTTTTTTGTTTTTTTGTTTTTTTGATATAGAGTCTCACTCTGTTGCCCAGGCTGGAGTGCAGTGGCATGATCTTGTCTCACTACAACCTCCGCCTCCCGGGTTCAAGTGATCCTCCTGCCTCAGCCTCCCAAGTAATTGGGACTACAGGCATACGCCACATGAAAATGTTGCTTGTAGAACTTTAAAAGCATCTCTGGTATGTCTCTAAAAAACACGAAACTGTTTCAGGATTTTTTTCCCCCTAAATAGGGCAAATCTGCAAAGATGGAAAGAAGAGGAAATACTAAAAATAACTTTCCCCAATTAGTGAGAGCCGAACACATATGGTAAGATGGAAATAGTTTTAGATGGCCCAAAGTAACACTGTGATGCAAAATGAACTCCCCAGGCAGAGGGAATAATTAGAAACAGCCACAAAAATTTACTCAAGACGTGATGGGAACAACAGCTGAATATGATATTCAGGGGATGTGGAGACCCTGAAGAGGTGAGTATGGTCTTGCAGCTTTTTGGAACCTGGAGAAATTGAGGAACTGGTTCTGAAAACGTTCTTGCCTATCCTTCCCATGAAGGTTCCTTCTTGGGAAGTCAGACATTCTGGATCTTTTACTAGAAATTCTAAGGGGTATGAGATCAGAGTCGCACATTTCATGAAACCCACAGGCAAGTGGCTGGGCCGCTCCTTCTCTGCTGGCAGGGATTTTGTGTTTCCTCCGGCATGCAGGAAGAGCCACCTGTGGGCTGTGGCCTGATGCGAGGGCACAGGACTGCCGAGATCGGGCTGCGAGCCTCAGCACTCTGGGCTCCGGCCCAGCTGGCCAGCTGGCCACCCTGCCCCGGACATGTGGGCTGCCGCTCAGCCAGCCGGACAGGTGCTCGCTGCCAGGGCCACCTTCCCCGGCAGGGAGGGTCACTGGTGGCGATGACAGGAGCCTGATCTGACCTAAGAGCAGCTTCTCCATGCTGTGCCACGTTCCCTTTTGTCACTGACTGGCGTGCATGTCCTTTGGTGACCTCGGATATTCATGTTTCTCTCTCCTCTTGCCTATACCCCGTGCAGACATTCAGCCAGTGTGCGCCCCGTGAGAGCAGCGGTGGGTAAGACCCTGGGCTGCTCTGTCCTGGTCAGGAGCTGGTGCCCTGAGCTCCCGAGGGCTCCAAGCTGCTGGGCACCTCTCCAGATGTCTGACAATCTGTCTGACTGGCCTGTGTCCCATGCCCACAGTCATTCTTATTGTGAATTTTTCTGTCTATACCTGTTATTTCTTTCCTTTCCTTCCACCCACCAATCTTTAATTTCCTGTCTAATCACCCCAAACTCTGCTTTTGGGCACCTCATTTATCCCACGCTCTCCTCACACAACCTCTGGGCCAGGACTCCTTTCTCTCAGAGTCCTGGGCCTCACTCTTCACTTTTCCCATACTGACATGATGGTCTTGCTTTCCTCTGCATGTCCTAGCAGCGACCTGCGAGTGCTCAGTCCCCTGCTGAGGAACCTCATGCAGGATGGTGACAATGGCTGAAGGTGGAGAACCCGGGACAGCCTGTCACTTACAACATAGCCACACTCCCAAGAGTCAGCAAACCTGGCCTGGTGCAGTGACTCATGCCTGTAATTCCAGCACTTTGGGAGACCAAGGTGGGCAGATCACCTGAGGTCAGAAGTTCGAGACCAGTCTGGCCAGCATGGTGAAACCCTGTCTGTACTTAAAAAAAAAAAAATACAAAAATTAGCTGGGCGTGGTCATGGAGGACTGTAATCCCAGCACTTTTACAGTACTGGGCGTGGGTGGGGGATGCTTGTAATCCTCAGCCTCCTAGCACCTGTAATCCTGGGAGACTGAGGCAGGAGAATCACTTGAACCCAGGAGGCAGAGGGTGCAGTAAGCTGAGATCGCGCTACCGCACTCCAGCCTGGGTGACAGAGCGAGACTATGTCTCAAAAAAAAAAAAAAAAAGAAGAGTCAGCAAATCAGTGACATTGTTTTCCTTGATGCCTCTACTCAGCCTGCTCCAGGATGGAGCTGACGGAACTCTTTGCTCCCTGCCTGCTGATCAGTTTCCTCAAAATATGTGAACCAAGACTCACTGTTCCCAGGTGGTCCTCCCTCCAGTCTGGCTGCAGCTCTCTCTTCCCCTCTGCCTCTCTCAGTGGTCAATCCCATGTCTGCCTTTGTTATATAGAGCACCATTAGTTGACCATCCTCCTCCTATGAGAACAGATTTGAATGCAAATAACAATTCCCTGGGCTATTGTCTGACACCAGGGATCCTTAGATATACCTTGGGAGACACCACCTCAGAATGACTGAAACAGAACAACAAATTGAAGCTGCTGCAATTTCACAACCTGGATGAATGAATTGAGTAACCGCCTCAAGCGAGAATCTGTGTGTGCACACACAACGCAGCAGAGGACGATGTCCCTCCTGGAGTTGGAGTCTCTGGTTTAGAGAAAGAGAAAATATAATCTGAATGGCATTGGGAGACAGAAAGGAAGTGCTTGCAGAGCAGGGAGATGACACTTTGGCTGGGGAAATCAAGAGACGCTGGATGAGAGGAGGGTCATAGGCCTGGGGAAGAGACCAATTGGGTTCAAATCCCAGCTTTGCCATGGACCAGCTCCAGGACCTCACTGTGCCTCGGTGCCCTTAACCATACCTACCTCAGAAGATTTCTGTGAGAATTACATGAGAAAACACTCATAAAGCCCCCAGCACACAGCAAGTGTGGATTAAATGGAAGCTGTTGCTTCACAAGTTTCATAGAGACCACATTTGATCTGGATATGGACATGTGCACGGGGAGGGTCCATGGCAGTGTCAGGCACTCCCACAGGAGAGGGCTCTCAAAGGAGTAACAATCCCCTTCTTTTGGGTGGAGAAGCCTTAATGGTACCAATCCTCAGTGATACCAACTTTCAAAAATTTATCTTAAAATGTAATAGGCCTTGGAATCAACTGCTAAAGAAAGCCACTAATTAAAAAAAAAAAGACAGGGCGCACAGGCGTCCATTGTGGGAAGGACTAAGGACTCTCCAAGTTTCATGGTCTAAAGCTACCCACCTGTAAGTGGGCAAACAACATTCAAGTCTGGACGGACTTGTCCAGAGAGGGCATTTCTCCCCGAGGTGGCTAGGTGGCGATAGAAGCACGCTGAAGCAGCGAGGATGTACCGGTCCCCAGACGGCTCTGCAGCTCTCAGGCTCAGGGTAGCAGGCATCCCCCACCCCACACACACAGCCCACCAGCACCCCACACATCCCCACTGCCTTCCTCTCCTCTCATCCTGCCTTTCTGTCTTCAAATATTTCCTGAAAGACTAATATGTCTCAGGCAAACACATGCACTACGATGCAGAAATGTATGAAAAATTCTATGGAAATACCAAGTTTTATGTTTAATATGAATCTGTTACGTTGTCACGTTTGAGAAATGCATATCTGTTAAGAAGTCTCATCAAAACCCTAAAAGGTCCTCTCAAAGCTTTTACCTACCTAAACGCTGTTCAAAGTTGTTGGGACTACACTTGGTTTAAGAAAACAAAACAAAACAATTTAACAGTAAGTATGGAAAGAGGACGGCTTTACCAAAACACAGTCTTGAGTTCAACTCCTGGCTGCAATACCAACAGCAGTGTGACCTCAGACAAGCAATCCGATCTCTCTGAGCCTCAGATTCTACAACTATAAAAGGTGAGAGATCATTGCACGTATACGGATATGACATTTAGTAGGTGCCCAACAGACTGGAGATCCTTGCACTGTGCTCTCTAGAGTAGGAAAAGCTCAGCATGTGGCTACCTGCGTAGAGAAAAGAGGGAAGTGTCTGAGCCAATGAGTAGAGATACTCACTCTCCAGGCTCACCTGGGGAGAGACTGAGGGACTGCACACAGCTCTGCACACATCAAACATCGGTTAACTTAAGCACCCCCAGCACTTGAAACTTTGTGGGAGAAGATTAAGGTAGTCTGAGATGTGCTTATTACCAAGCAAGAAGAGTTCACGCCAAGATTTTTCTTGAGTGCTTAATCTGGGTGAGGCCCAAGTCAGGCAAGAGAAGAATTATCACAAACTGAGTGGGAAACTGTCCAGGTGGCGAAGCTTTGTGAGCAATGGTGTGATGCCTGGGCAAAGACA